CTCCTCTCTTTCTCCTGCCTTACGACACATTTGAAGAAGGGCATGTACACTCGCACAGAAGCAGCCTGGGGCACCACGTCTGAGCCACTGTTTTGTTTAGTCTTCCTTCAAAACCGCCTTAAAGAAACCTTATTCAAATTGCAGTTCTTTCAATATTCTGCTCATATTCGCGTCTCTCATACCTACTTTCATTGACAATTGTTTCACGGTTACACTTTTGTCAGCCAAAATGAAATTGCGAATGAACCTCACATTGTCAGGGAGAACGCGGTCTGCATCTGCGCGGGAGATCCTGAGAATTCGCTTGGCCTAATTCACAAGATAATCTGGAATCCCACCTAACTATACTGTGGTCAACAGCATCATGTGCATACACATTTTTTATTACATCATCTGTATACACATTTTAACATCCTGTAAATGTTTGTCACTGTCTCGTTCTCATAGAACGTTGCTTCCGACGAACATGTAATGCAGCAGCCCTCTTAAAAGAATGCTATGAGAGCAACACATTCGGAAACAGGTTAAACTAAATTTGAATTCAAGCGAGGACGATATTTCCAAATCTGTAAAGAGCAAAGACGAAGAAAAGAAAATGCATTAAAAAAGCATGCGCATGACTTTTGGAGTGTCCTTCGTATATCAGAATTACATACAGAATAGTGGTTTACGTAACTAGGGCGCCAATCACATCGTTCCCGCGTTACATATACTACTTTAACACGCCGTGAGCGAAACGCAATGCGTCAAGTAAAGGAATATAAATTAAAAATCAAATAACTAGAAATACTTTACTTGTACCAAAATACATGGATTTGTCAGTGTCGTAACACTATTGTTTGTAAATAATACACAAAGACGTCTTCAAGATGAAAGACAATTGCCAATCGTTAATGCTGTTTCGCACACAGCCAAGAAACTAGCTGTTTCGCACACGGAAAACAAGTACGAAAAACCGCGTTTCGCGCACGGTGTGTTAAAAAGATATTTACGATATTCTTGTGACAAGGTACGTGAAGGTTGGAACGGTATTGCTGCATTGTGGATGTTATGGTACTGTATGTATGGATATTTATATTCAAGCTGCAACTCTTTCTCCGTATCACATAAATCGATAATTATACCGCCTTACGTAGCAGGAGCCGTAAACATTATATCATTTTCGAAATGATGGTTCCCTCAATAGGAGTTTTCGCCACTATCCGCAGTAGCTTTACAATATTTTCTCTTTACTACGTCAGTACGTAGTAAGCAAGAAAGAAAAAAGGGAGAACGATGAGTCGTGTATCCCGAGGATAATTAAGAGAGGATTCTACTGTGAATGCGGTGCCCTGTACAAATTTCCTTCGCCGACTTTGACTCCCTTTTCACGCAAGAGGCAGCGTATGCTTAGTTTGACAGGACCGCGAGCAGCCGATCATCCGCCACGCGCGGCACTGGCGTCGCGTTCCGAGGCAGCAGTCGTCGCTGCTTCGCCGCTGTCCCTTTCGGTGGCGACTCGCGGGCGACGCGCCTTGCTGGTAATGCGCCTCTGGAAAGTGTCAAGCGGCGTCATAAGGCAGAGGCGGAACGGGTGAGGGGCGGGGGGGGGGCGAAGGGCGGGAGTGGAGGGGGAGGCGAAGGCGAGGGCGAAGACGAGGGCGAAGACGAGGGGCGAAGACGAGGGGCGAAGGCGAGGGGGCGAAGGCGAGGGGGCGAAGGCGATGGCTAGGGCGATGGCAAGGGCGATGGCAAGGGCAATGGCAAGGGCGATGGCAAGGGCAATGGAAGGGCGATGGCAAGGGCGATGGCAAGGGCGATGGCAAGGGCGATGGCAAGGGCGATGGGGGCGGGCAAGGGGAAGGGCGATGGCAGGGCGATGGCAAGGGCGAATGGCAAGGGCGATGGCAAGGGCGATGGCAAGGGCGATGGCAAGGGCGATGGCAAGGGCGATGGCAAGGGCTGGGCGATGGCAAGGGCGATGGCAAGGGCGATGGCAAGGAAGGGCGATGGCAAGGGCGATGGCAAGGGCAGGCAAGGGCGATGGCAAGGGCAATGGCAAGGGCGATGGCAAGGGCATGCAAGGCGATGCAAGGGCGATGGCAAGGGCGATGGCAAGGGCGATGGCAAGGGCGATGGCAGGGCGATGGCAAGGGCGATGGCAAGGGCGATGGCAAGGGGATGGCAAGGGCGATGGCAAGGGCGATGGCAAGGGCGATGGCAAGGGCGATGGCACGGGCGATGGCAGGGCGATGGCAGGGGATGGCAAGGGCGATGGCAAAGGCGATTGCAAAGGCGATGGCAAAGGCGATGGCAAAGGCGATGGCAAAGGCGATGGCAAAGGCGATGGCAAAGGCGATGGCAAAGGCGATGGCAAAGGCGATGGCAAAGGCGATTGGCAAAGGCGATGGCAAGGCGAGGAGAGTGGAGGAAGCCAAAACGTAAGCGGGGAGGTGGGGGCGATTGACAGAGGCAGCAGCGGTGGGGCAGTGCTGAGGATCGGTGGCGCCGGGAAAGGGTCTTGGTGCGTAAGGGGTGACGGGGGAGGGGGGAGGGCGGCCGCACGACCGGCGAACGCTTCGGCGCTTTGACGACTCCCACGCACTTCGCGGTGAAGAATGAGCGCTCTCATGTTGAAAGCTGATAATGGAGCGCTTGTACGGAAACAGACCGCTCCCGGGCCCGGTGGGCGGGATGAGGCGGGTAGAAGCGGGGCGAGGCGGAGGTAGGGCAGAGCGTCGCGGAGAAGAAGCGGGCGGGGAAAGGCGGGACACGGCGGGCCGAGGGGGGGCGATGGGCGAGGGCGGGGCGATTGGGCATGGCTGAGAGAGATGGGGCGAGGATGGGAACGATGGGTCATGGCTGGGAGCGATGGGAAGGGAATGGGAGCGATGGGAAGGGAATGGGAGCGAAGGGTAAGGAATGGGAGCGAAGGGAAAGGAATGGGAGCGATGTGACGGGAATGGAAGCGATGGGACGGGGCGTGCTGCGACCGGTGGGATAGGCCAGATATGCGCGGGCGCAAAGCGTGCAACGTTAGTCTTGTAATACACTGAATACCAATCTCTGGAAATTTTGCAAATTACGTAAAAGAGACTGCGTTTGGAAGTGCATTGCAGTTACTTCGCATACATCCAACGTCATCGCCGCCAAATTACGAAATTTTAGAACCCAAAACAGAACAATGAAGTCAAATACTCAATATTGTAATTCTCAGTGGGCATGACGTCCCCGGAAACTTCGCGAGCCTGCCAAACACCAAAGCAAGTTGAGTTGCCTACCAATCAGGGGCACGATGTCAAAAACTGGTTATGTGTAATCTGGTTAAACGATACTAGTGGTCTTCAGCAGCAAATATGTTGAGGAAACCCAAAGGATTTCCAAATTGTAACACGGATACTCCTCAAAAAACAAATAAATTGCTTTTGTACAACACTGCAATAAATTAAATATGTGACCAAACACAGTAATCACGATTGCAGCAATAACAGTCAAGTTCTTCACATACTAGCCAGAATATAAAAAATGCTGATCCATAATAAATCACGTGAATAACATATTTAATTGAGGGCGGCCTCCTCTCTGAAGCCTTGCTGTAGCACGACGCAAGCTGTGTCGTAAGCGGTGACGCAATTATTGAGGACACAGCCAGTACGCGCAGTATTGGATGGGTGGAAATAACACAATCAAATATTAGCATATTTTAGTCAAAACGAAAGTTTCATTGTTGTTTTTTTTATTTTTCCCACGATCCTGGGTAAATAACGAAAGCATTGGCACCTAACGTATGGCCGGAGGAAATTCAGGTTTCTTTCAATTTGTGCGCGCATTGGAAATTAGTAATGCAGATTTCTCACTACAAGGGCCTGAGCAAAATCACATTATTATCGACTGCCTTCTTGCCCTTGAAGTTTGTATTATGTATTCTGGATCACTGTGTATATTACGATGGTTGTTATGCCTATCGCATCTCATCTTACTTTTAAAAAAAATACTTTTTTAAGTTCTATTTGATTTTTTAGGTAGGTACTATTGAAAGAGTTGTTTGTTGTGGCTTCTCTAATTCGTAGGATTCTTTACTTGAATCCTGAAGGAAATACTCAAGATTTTCTTAAAAAACACTTTTTTTTTACATTTTTTTGCTCGAACAGAGCATGGTGGGCTTTTAAAAATGGCGCAGGTCTGATTTTCATTAAAAACTCTAAATTTCTCTGAGTTTTTACGTAAATTTGAGTGAAATCTTAAAAATTTTTAAAACATACGTAAACCATATCTTTTTAGAAATTACTTATTTTTCAGATTATTATTGCGCAATACTAATAACGAATTCCAGCTGTTAATTTTAATTATTTAAGTAATAATAAGCAAGAGTAGGAAATTGGCATGAAAAGAGTCTATATCTTATATTTCTCTACTTATGCCAAAAATACTTACTACTTCTCTAAAAACTGCATTTAATCGGCCAGTCTAACTTCCTGCCCGCCCGCTAGCTAGCTATGCAATTCGCACACCAAAGGGCGCCGGCTATGTGGACGAGAGAGAACCTGTGTGACCGAGTGAGCACCTGTCTGGCCGAGTGAGCGCCTGCGTGGCGGAAGGGGCCGAGTTTGAACGAAGGAATGCTTGTTTTTGTACGAGTGAGTACCAGTGCGAGTAAGAGTCTGTTAATGCGATTACCAATTTCAGAAAGGGTCGTTCTTCCTGACAAAGTGTGTGTCTCTATGTCTACTTGCGTGCTTACTTGTCTCAGGCCTACATGATTTCCTACTTCATTTTATGTCTTCGCGTCTATCCGAGCCTGTCACAAATTCGACCGATGTGAACAATTTAAAGATGAATATTGTCCACAAAACTAATACCGATTAAATAAATTAAGGCACTGCAAACACGAACGCTGTAGCAATATAAAAAGCTGTTACGCCGAAGCCGCAGAAGGACCCTGCCAGCCGTTCTCCTTTGCGAGCCAAGCGACTGTGCACGCGCCGCCCACTATCGCAGTGGGGACTTCGTGACGTACTCACCCGTCTAACAAGGCGCACTAGCAAGCGAGGACTGCCAGCGCTGTAACGCCGACAGCAGAGTAGACATCGGCGGCGATGGTGGCGGCAGTGGCGGCGGTGACTGGGTCCACGCGATCGGGTGCGGAGGCGAGGGCGGAGACGGAGGCGAAGGCGTCCATCCCCCGGGGCGGCTCACTCGCCGACGGCGGGGACGGGGGCGGCGCAGGCGGAGGCGGAGACTCGCCGCGTCGCAAGGCGGGGCGGAGGGACGCGAGCCGCAGGGTGGGCGGGACTGGAGGGGCGCTGGAGCTGAGGCGGCCTGCGCCGACGGTGGGGGAAAGGCACAGGAAGCGGATCAACAGAGATGAGGGCGGAGGCGGAAGAGGACGTGGACGAGGACGGGAGTGGAGGCGGCGCCTGCTTGAGCTCTCAGCTGACGGCGTTGGCGAGGGCGGCGCCTGCGGAATCAGGAGCGGGAGCGGAGCTGGAGGTGGAGGTGGCGGTGGCGGCGTCGCGGTGGGGGCGTGAGCGCATGGCGGGCCCTCAGTGGCGAGCGACGCGCGCTGGAGGCGAGATGGGCGGGGCGGCAGCGCAGCCGGCCGGCGAGGCAGAGGGGAGTCGCTCCTGCACACACAAACAAAACAGGGCGATTAGTCCAGTAGCTGTTCCTCGTGTAAGATGTCACATGCTTCCGAACTGTAAATTGTCAATGGCGCCATGGGGCTCTCACTGATGACATACAGTGCGTATACCAGGCTTGAGTACGAAACTGTTCGTACGCGCTGACTCGCGCTCACGAGCTGGACGCTCGAGTGGCAACACGCGAATGGGAAGTGTGGCGGGCTGAAGGAAGAAGGTAAAGGCATGGCATAGAGCAAACGTGCCATTAAGTGGAAGGAGAAAACCCTGAGTTTTTCGCATTAGCGAAAAAAAGCATGCAGCAATGCATTACAGCAATTGTGCGTTATCTTGAAGATTTGTAGAATGTGGATTACATTTATGATAAAATTATTGTCGCGAGTGTTCGCGACAAAGTGGATTCCAAGTGCAATTGATAAACCTCTATGATAAGCAGAAATTCATTAAAATTCGAAAGATCAGTTTCCTTATTTGTATGCAATTGAGAATGAGTGCTGTCTTCTACAATCCATACACTAATAACAATATCAATGAGTTAAAATTTTTAAAAAAATATCTACCATGTGTTATGAAAGATACACGGCAAAAATAAATCGAAATTAAAGTGACAGCGCTAAACGGGTGGTAGGTGATAAACTTCAGGGAAAATGTTTAAAAACACGAAAAATAACGAAACTGACACAGGTGCAACCAGCGGCTTCGTTGTTGGATTTTTTTTTTTGGGGGGGGGGGGGAGAATGCGAAAGCTATTACGACACAGAACCCCGAATGCGGCGCTCGCGCTCGAATTACTGATCAGGAGCTGGCCCTCCAGCCTGCCACCAAGGTCATAACGCGAGCGCTCGGCACGCCTCACTAGTGTTTCCGAGATCTGATCCTGAGGCCAAAATGCAACATTTCAACTTTCAAAAATGAATCCTCTGTGCACTATCATGTAAAGTAAACACTTCAAGCTAATTCTTTTGCACCCTCTTAGTTGATAGTCTGCGTCCCTGTTTCGAGGCACGCTTTTGACGTTGGTACTTTTCCGTGCGGTCTCTGCACCGAAGTGTGAGCAGTCGAGCCACGGTGGAGTTGAAAAGGATGTTGTGTTTGCGTGTTTATTTTTTTTTCATGGAATCAAGTCATTTTGTTACTATCCAGGATTGTATTTTCCTTATCAATTAGTTTTAATGCGCAAGTCAATTCAGAGTTTCTAAAAATTGCTACTTATTCATTGCTGCGAATTTTAGTACTATTACCGATAACCTCAAAATTTGAATTGACTTTTAAAAAAATAACGGAGTTTGACGGGCTTGGGATACTGTATGAAGATTATTATAAATCAGAAAGAGGTAAGTTCCAAAACGTTTAAGCTGCAACAAACTGCTACTTTTGACAAATATTGTTTTTGTTCTGTAGATAAGCACCGCTTCAGAAATGAATGTCTGTTATTGGCGTACTGCTAGTGATAGAGATGTGCAGATCACGATAATCTACGAGTATATAATTGATAACATTGGAAAGAAACTAAATTCATATGAAAGAAAATAAACTGAATAAACTAAATGCAGAATAAAGAGAAAATTAGGAATGAAATTTGCCTTTTAAGCAATACTTTTGAAAAATCATATGCGGGATATATAATCACTGGAATCATATGCGAATATTTTACTGATAAACACTTCATAGTAACCTCATACTAACTGGCGCTATGATGTTCTGATGGGATATCTCATGGTCTATAATCAGGAAATTATTCATATAGTCTTGTACTCGTGGTATACAATTTTCCTGTTGATGGAAGTTCAAAGAGGGAAAATATATATTTTTCCTTTGTTACAACTCAATATGTTAAACAGGCATTTTAATTATTTTATTATTATGTTAACAATCACAAATTTATTTAAACTTTCCTTTAAAGCTAGTTTACCCGTATTTTTTTATTAAATGAAAGCAATATTTTTTTCACACAAACGGCGCTAAACTTTGTATTAATTTTTTTCGCGGATACGGCAAAGGACGCTTAAAAAATTGCGCACACCTAACTTTCATTGAACTGTCTAAATGTTTAAAAATTTCATAAGTTAGAAATAATGCGTGAAACCAGTAGTTTAGTAAGCATAGGGATAGTTTATTTTAGCTGTGCTACTTGTGGTGTAAGGGTATTGAGTCCGGCGTGACAACTCTAGGGCTGTGTGTTTGAATCTCAGCGCGAGGGGAAAAAATGCTGGTTGGAAACACTTATGCAGGTTCATGTAGTATAATATTGCGTAGCCGTTACAAATAATGCGAGAAAGTATTACTTGTTGAAGAATCACTGGTTTAATGTGACAATCTTGCAAGGATATTAGCATGGTTTTCAAATGAGAACTGTCCTTCATCCCAAGCTCATGATATAATATGAAATGATCGTAACAGTAAATGACACTTAGTGCACTGCAACTGATGCATATGAGTATACATCACCGTGACATTAACCTTACATTACAATAATTGTAATTAAACAGATTTATTTCATGTACGTAAATTACATACGTACATCCCGTACACTTAGCAACGTTTTATGAACTGTGGGCAAGGCGAATATGAGTTTCCTTGCATGTATTTCCTTGTTTTTGAATACTAGCTCGTTGGCAAAGTAGTTTCCCATCTCACAAAAGATATTTTATAAAGGGGAAGCTATTTTTAGATAATTTTAAGTGCGCAAATATTTCGGAATTTTCGTTAGTGTGTTTTCGTCTGTTCATTTTTTATTGCGGGTAATTACTTGTTTTCTTGAATTTTAACTTTTCATATATATTACGTACGCGTAAGCCCCCATGTGTGTGTACGTAAGTGTGTGTTTGTGCGTGTGTGTGCGTGTGCGAGAGAGAAAGTGTGAGTCAGGGGAGAGAATTGACAAGGCTAGCTATATAGCTGGTGACGAAAATCAGCATAGTCGAACTCGAACCTGATCAGCACCTGAACCGAACTCGAACCGACTTCCTTGTCAGATTCGCTGCAGAGACAGCAGTAATCTGAGTTACCTCAGCCGGTTAGAGTACGGAGAGAGGTTGGATCATACAAAATTAGGATTGTAGGGAAATTATCATGCTAAAGGGAACTAAAGGAAAGAAACATGCTTACGTATGTGGACTTCAATAAGGTTCTAAAAACAAATGCGACAACTCCAACTGGTTGCTCTAGAACGTACTGGCGACAATTCATTAAAAATGGTGACCTACTGCTTACTGCTGCAGAGTAAATTTCATACAAAAAAATACGACTTTCATATTTTATATGGAGAGAAGCGAGACTCGGAGGGATAGACGGGGACTAGGAAGGAGCCGGCACGAGACGAGAGGGAACGGGACGGGGACTAGAAAGGAATAGGATGTGGTCATGGACGGAAACGTGACCTAAATAATGGAGCAGGGCAGGACGGAAAGTCGGATAAGGTTGCAGGATGTAGCGGGTGAGAACAAGGCGAGGAACGCAACAAATAAGACGAACGGGACAAGTAGTAGATGATGTAGGGCGAAGAGCGGCCTGAGCGAGGCCTCCCGATCGCTGTGCCGCCCGAAATGGAAAAGCGCGCTCAGGTGCGGAGAGAGCCAATGGCGAAGGACAGGTTACCACGCGTGCTCTAGCGGACTGCCAACGTAGGGATTTGTAATGGGCGTTGTTTTTTTGCAATATTGTTATTGTGATATACAATAATATTCAATGCAAATTCCTCAACGTGTTTTTTTTCCACTTCGGACGGGAATCCAACTATGTTCTCGTGATTTCCACTCACTTCCTTTCATTGCTAAGCTACCGAAACAACCAATGCTCTAAACTCTTTCACACCTCTCTTGTTTTGTGTACTCACTGAATGCTAATTTCGAAGATGAGCCTTCTCAGCATTTAAGTAATGCTCTCTGAAACGAATTTTTGCTGCTGTTATCGGGTCATGCTCACAAATCTTTCATATCCGCCTTGACACTGCACTGGAGGTAGACACACAAGAGTCTATGTGAGTGGTTTGCTTGTGATCTGACTTCCTTGTCAGCAAGGTGTCGACGTTCAGCGAAACCTGATTCGTATTACTCCAATACCCGCTTACCAGAAAATCTTGTTATCGAGGGAACACGGCGCAGTGTCGTATTCCCATGCATCAGTCGCAGCGCACTACGTCTCTCTTCATCCAGCCACGGCTAATGGCCGCCCCTCAAAGGGCGCGTAAAATGTGAGAAGACTCCCGGCCTCTCAAATCTCCCCAGCGCTACCAACATGATATTTTGTTAGCGCAAGCCGAATCCGCGCAACATGATCCACTCCTATTCTCCAATTTGTCCTTCTCCAAAGCAAGGACATAAATTGATACTTCAAATCGTTGAAAGCTTTAGCCACCTTGACCGGCCATCGAAACCAGGTCTCGCAAGGCTTTCAATAGTATCAAATAAAACCTATTGTAGCACGAAGCCAAGGCCACACCATCAACTACCTTTAGTGTACAGCATGTATTTCTGTCGTATATCGATTTTCACATAGTGATACGATAGTGACAATTGTTCATTTCTTTATAAATAATTTTAAGAAGTGTTAAGGGAGAAATAAAATACTTGCTTTTAAATTCGTATGATATTTTTAAACTAGCAGGCTGATCTAGTTCATTTTCGCCAGCTCATTTTCGGCTGGAATTCATGTTAATCTCACATTGCTCTTGGTAACTAACTTTGAAATGACCAAATAGTCGATAACTCTTCTTCATATTCCATAAAACACTATCCTTTAAATACAACATTTCTATCTTACTCTGCAAGAACAACATCCCATTTATGGATGCAAACAGGCTACGACGGCTCAGTGGCAACGTTGCCGTAGCCCAGCAGCGTCGGTGACCGAGGTGTCCGTGTTTTTGAGTCTTAAAAGTGACGGATTTCAATAAGAGCTGCATAGCTAGGTCAAATTCAATTACAGTTTGGAGGGGAATTCTAGCGGGCGGTTTCTCTGATGAGTAGGTATCTATGGTTTCTCCG